AATTCTATCTCAGGTCTGTGCGAACCTTAATTCTATCTCAGGTCTGTGTGAACCTTAATTCTATCGAAGACCTGTGCGAACCTTAATTCTATCGCAGACCTGTGCGAACCTTAATTCTATCGCAGACCTGTGCGAACCTTCATTCTATCGCAGACCTGTGCGAACCTTCATTCTATCGCAGACCTGTGCGAACCTTAATTCTATCGCAGACCTGTGCAAACCTTAATTCTATCGCAGACCTGTGCGATCCTTAATTCTATCGCAGACCTGTGCAAACCTTAATTCTATCGCAGACCTGTGCGATCCTTAATTCTGTCGCAGACCTGTGCAAACCTTAATTCTGTCGCAGACCTGTGCAAACCTGTCCTGATTGGCTGCTCAATTACTGTTACTTTGCTGTTGCAAACAAAATTAATTTTGCTTGAGGTGAACCTATCATGACAGAAACACACGGGCTACCTTTATTGAGCCTGTTCTAAAAATGCTAGTTGTCAGGCATTTACGGATCCCTGTTTAATGCTCTCTGAATCACTGACCACAGAGAGAATGCAAATAGGAGTTCTGACTTAATTGCTGCTACTTGTTCTAGGTCAGTGACTCAGAAGGTATTTGCACAAGTTGGTCAGCACTGACGCCCCCCATATTTCTCATATGACTGGTTTCCATTAAATCCTTTTTTGACTGGGAGACAGGGAACTGAGCCTTTGTACCTCTGGATAATTCTGGTAGCAAGAGCAGTATGCCTGCATTCCTTTGGTCAGTGCCTCTGATATGTGAATGTAAGGTTTGTTTGTTGTTTGGAAAATTGCGCTACAGAAAATGTAACCGGAAGGCTTTGTCTACTACGGCAGGATTGGTGCATCTCCAGAGGATGGTTTGGAGCCGAAAACTCTGGCACAGAGGTTCCCTGTCTCAAGCCACCCAGGAGATCTCTAGTCACCAGCTGACCTGTCAGTTCTGGGTGTGTCACATCAGTTTTAGGTTGCCTTGACTCTAGGTTCACATCTGGCGGGTGGTGCCTCTGCGGATCCGCACAAAAATCCGTGAGCCGCACCACCCGCACAGAGAAATGCGGACCCGCGGGTGGGTGCCATTAGTTCTATTGGCACGCCGCCCGCACTGGAAAACGCAACCATACTGAGAACTGAGGTTCCCGTGCGGCATTTTCCAAATGAATGGGCTCTCGTGCTCATGCAAAACTCGGCCCGCAGGGCCGCATATATGTGAACCGGGGGTGACAGTCATCAGACTCTTCCTAAATATCTTTCCAGAGTATTTTGAAGATTGCAAAATGCGTTCGTGTATTCTTCATCTGCTGTCCCATTGTGGTATCTGTCCAAAATTAGTTTCAAGAGTTTATTAAAGCAAAAGCATGCAATGGCTCTATTCCTTCTAGTCAGTGAAGTGGCGGTGTAATCTAGAAATGAGGGATTTGTATAAATAGATTGGATGCTTCGGCTCCAGAAATAATTCATTGTGATTGCAGCATCATGCAAAGGAAAGTAGAGTAACCCAGAATAATTCTGCATTCATAAATCATATTAGATTCTACAGCAATGATGATGATCATTTAATTTGCACAGCATACTTACAGCATTACCAGCAGGGCTGTACTTAGCGTTCATGTTGCCCTAGGATCCTATGAATGTTATGTACTTTCATGCAGCTTTTTCACCTCTTTCATCAACCATAAGTGTAAACATTAAAATCCGATTTTTCTGATTGAAGCAGAATACAGAACTCCCACAATTAGATTTCAACAGTTTTCAAAGAACCTGAAAATTACTACCTGATCTACATAGAGTCTTATGACCCCCCCCCCCCCCCCCCCCCCCCCCCCCCCCCCCCCCCCCCCCCCCCCCCGTAAAGTAGAACTGCAAATATAATAAAGAAAGCCTTCTACAACATCTCACCGTGCTGATGAAAAACTGTAAATGAATATACTTGCCTTGTGTAGAAGCCCATCCCTGTATGGCATGTCTTTCAGCAGTTCATGCCTATGCAGTGGTCAGCCATTGCAGAACATGGCCTCTATGGGCACAACTGCAGAGGGAAAGTAGATTTTTATTTATTTGAATTGAATTGTAATTCCATTGCATTCAGGTACCCCCCCCCCCCCTCCTTCAAACCAGGAGCAAGATTTACTTTCCAGATAACAAGAAAAAAAGTAATTGAAAAAACATCAATGTAGTTTTTGCTGCCCCCTTTTATCCTATTGTCCTAAGCCTATGCCTTTTGAGTCATTTATGATATTGTGTTCTGAAATACCGTATATACTCGAGTATAAGCCGAGTTTTTCAGCACATTTGTTCACTCCGGCCACTCCCTCACTCCTGCCGCTCGGCTCCGCCTCCTTACCGGTGATTGGCCACCAGAACTGTAGCTCAGGAAAGGTACACGGGCGGCCAATCACGGGCGAGGAGGCGGAGCCGAGCGGACCCGCGAAAATCGAGTGAGGGAAAAGCCGGTAAGTGTGCAGTGCAGAGGTGCTGCTGCAACCACATATGCTGGCTGCAGCAGCACCATACTGCAACAGGGGTCAGCAAGTGTCATTGGTGTCAGTGGGAGGAATAGTGCCGCATCATTGGTGTCACTGATACTAATGATGGGGCATTATTCCTCCCACTGATACCAATGATGGGGCACTATTCATCCCACTGATACCAATGATGGGGCACTATTCCTCCCACTGACACCAATGATGGGGCACTATTCCTCCCACTGATACCAATGATGGGGCACTATTCCTCCCACTGACACCAATGATGGGGCACTATTCCTCCCACTGATACCAATGATGGGGCACTATTCCTCCCACTGACACCAATGATGGGGCACTATTCCTCCCACTGATACCAATGATGGGGTACTATTCCTCCCACTGACACCAATGATGGGGCACTATTCCTCCCACTGACACCAATGATGGGGCACTATTCCTCCCACTGATACTAATGATGGGGCATTATTCCTCCCAGTGATACCAATGATGGGGCACTATTCCCCCCACTGATACCAATGATGGGGCACTATTCCTCCCAGTGATACCAATGATGGGGCACTATTCCTCCCACTGACACCAATGATGGGGCACTATTCCTCCCACTGACACCAATGATGGGGCACTATTCCTCCCACTGACACCAATGATGGGGCACTATTCCTCCCACTGATACCAATGATGGGGCACTATTCCTCCCACTGACACCAATGATGGGGCACTATTCCACTGATACCCTCGGCTTATACTCGAGTCAATAGTTTTTCCCAGTTTTTTGTGGTAAAATTAGGTACCTCGGCTTATATTCGGGTCGGCTTATACTTGAGTATATACGGTATACAAAAGCGTTTGATTTTTAAGTTCTTTATTCCAGAAATTTGCCTCAATACAGAGTACAGAGGTGAGAGTGATCTGATAAAAAACATTGTACTGCTTGCGTATAAGGGTTGGTGCTGGTTCTGTCAATAAAAAAAATAAAAAAGATAAATAAAGATAAGAAACTAATAATTATATTTGATAGAGGTAATGAAATCAAAGAAACATTACAACTGCTTTTTTTTTTTTTTTTTTTTTAGAAAGTACCTATTGGTGGAGAAATGCACCTTTTAGTAGTGAAAGCTGGACACAAAGCACTAAGAAGAAAGTCTTGTCTCTGTTCTAGTGGTATGTGTCACGGGAAACCTGACCGCTACTGTTCAGGAGAAAACTGCCCTGCTTTCCTGCTTGGTGTTAGAGATGTGGAGCTGCAGTGACACCATTACCAGGCTAACTCAATACATCAAAAACATTTCTTTCTTAAGCAAATTAAACTTCATTAAGTCTGTAAGGATGAGCAAATTTATTATCAGTTTTCCCCCCATTTTGTCTTATTTCACCAGTTCATTTTCTCAATTTGAAATGGAAAGTTGCAATGTCATAGTGAAAGAAATGGTTAGAACTAGATTTAAACTGTTACTAAACCTACAACAGTACAATCAGTCTGTATATGCAGTAAAGCATGCTTGTTATACTCACTGTGGAATATAAGGGGTTAGTCCTCTGCATTGTGTAAAAATGCTGTTAGATCCTGACTTCTCTGATCCTCCCCTTCTTCAAGTGCCCCACTCTTATCTCCTGATAAGACATATTGTGTGGAGACACTCTGTACATGCTCTATTTGGTGTGTATTGCTAGAGAGGTTTTTTTTTTCCTTGGTAGAGTGCATGTGATTTAGCACAGGGCTAATCAGTGCTGTCCAGACAGAGGTCAGGGGTTCTGCATCCTCATAGAGTAGAAAGAAATCTCCTCCTACAAACCACATGAAAGAAAAATATGTTTGAAATATATTTTAAAAATTTTCTTCCCAAATATATTGACATATATATGAAATATTACAATTTTGGCCATAATTAATATATTTATATATATATATATATATATATACACACACACTGCATGTTGAAATGAGTTTTTATTACAAAATATATGAAAAATATTTTTACATTTACATTTTTGGAATGCATTTACAAATATATGTAAAAATATATGTTAAAATGACTTTTTTATATGTTAAAAAAAATCTGAAGAATATATTTAAAAAAACATTTTAAACAATATTTTTCATATCTTGTAATATATAAAAAAACACAATTCAACATGTAGTGTGTATATATGTGTGTGTATGTGTGTGTGTGTGTATATATATATATATATATATATATATATATATATATATATATATATATATATATATATATATATATATATTGAATATGGCCAAAATTTTTGTATTTCAGACCAGATATAGTGAATGCCGGGTCCGGGGAGACCGGATATAGTGAATGCCGGGTCTGGGGAGACCAGATATAGTGAATGCGGGGTCCGGGGAGACCAGATATAGTGAATGCAGGGTCCTGGGAGACCGGATATAGTGAATGCAGGGTCCGGGGAGACCGGATATAGTGATTGCAGGGTCCAGGGAGACCAGATATAGTGAATGTAGGGTCCGGGGAGACCGGATATAGTGATTGCAGGGTCCAGGGAGACCGGATAGAGTGAATGCAGGGTCCAGGGAGACCGGATAGAGTGAATGCGGGGTCCGGGGAGACCGGATATAGTGAATGAATGCAGGGTCCGGGGAGAGCGGATATAGTGAATGCAGGGTGCGGGGAGAGCGGATATAGTGAATGCAGGGTCCGGGGAGACCAGATATAGTGAATGCAGGGTCCGGGGAGAGCGGATATAGTGAATGCAGGGTGCGGGGAGAGCGGATATAGTGAATGCAGGGTCCGGGGAGAGCGGATATAGTGAATGCAGGGTCCGGGGAGAGCGGATATAGTGAATGCAGGGTCCGGGGAGAGCGGATATAGTGAATGCAGGGTCCGGGGAGAGCGGATATAGTGAATGCAGGGTCCTGGGTTTAGTAACAACCTCAGACCCATCTCCCTGCTCCCATTTACATCTAAACTCCTCGAGCGCCTAGTCTACGCCCGCCTATGCTCTCACCTCAACGACAACAACCTCCTCGATCCCCTACAGTCCGGCTTCCGTCCCCTACACTCTCCACCGAAACTGCCTTACTCAAACTCTCCAACGACCTGCTAACCGCCAAAGCTAATGGCCACTATTCAGTGCTCCTACTCCTTGACCTCTCTGCGGCCTTCGACACAGTCGACCACCCCCTCCTCCTCAAAAAACTACACTCCCTCGGCCTCAGAGATTCTGCTCTCTCCTGGCTCTCATCCTACCTGTCACAACGCTCTTTCAGCGTTACCTATAATGCCACCACCTCCCTCTCACTCCCCCTCTCTGTTGGGGTCCCTCAAGGCTCTGTCCTCGGGCCCCTTCTCTTCTCCATCTACACCTCCTCCCTTGGCCGACTCATACACTCTCACGGCTTCAACTACCACCTCTATGCCGACGACACACAAATCTATCTCTCAACCCCCCACCTCACCCCCTCGGTCTCTGCCCGAATCACACACCTGTTGAGCGACATATCAGACTGGATGTCGCTCCACTTCCTTAAACTGAACCTCTCCAAAACCGAGTTTCTTGTCTTCCCTCCAGCCCGGACACCACCCCCCATTGACTTCTCCATCATGTCCAACAACGCCACCATCAAACCCGCCCCGCAGGCCAGAGTACTTGGTGTTATTTTGGACTCCAACCTATCCTTCCAGCCCCAAGTCCACTCTTTAACAAACTCGTGCAGACTCCACCTCGGCAACATCGCCAAAATCCGCACGTTCCTAACTCCAGAAACCACTAAACAGCTCATCCACTCCCTCATCATATCGCGACTCGACTACTGCAACTCCCTCCTCACTGGCCTGCCTCGCCGCTGGCTATCCCCGCTTCAGTCCATCCTGAATACGGCTGCCAGACTCATTCACCTTTCCAACCGCTCCGTTTCCGCCACCCCCCCTCTGCCAATCCCTCCACTGGCTTCCGATTGCGCAACGGATCAAATTCAAAATCCTAACGCTGACGTACAAAGCTGTCCACCATACTGCCCCGAACTACATCACTGACCTAATATCCAAGTACCGCCCAGCATGCACACTCCGCTCCTCACAAGACCTCCTTCTCTCTAGTTCCCTGGTCTCCTCCTCCCATGCCCGCCTCCAGGACTTCTCCAGGGTGTCACCCATCCTCTGGAACTCCCTGCCCCAACCCATCAGATTATCACCTACTCTCCTCTCCTTTAGGCGCACCCTGAAAACCTATCTCTTCAGGGAAGCCTACCCCGCCCCTGCTAACTTGCCGACCTCCTCCACTCTTCCTACCACTCCATCCCCCACAGCTATCTCCTCCTGTGCCACCATCCCCTCCTTCCTAGATTGTAAGCTTGAAAGAGCAGGGCCCTCGATCCCCTCATGTTTTGCATTGTATTGGTATTGTTCTGTCACATGTTCTGTCCCCCTTTGTAATGTACAGCGCTGAGCGAACTATTGGCGCTTTATAAATACTGTATAATAATAATAATAATAATAATAATAATTAAAAGGAAAAATCTGAGGCAAAAAAAGTATGCCACCTCGAGGCCAACTCCAAGCATTTCTCTGGTGAAAATAATAACTTACACTTGTTTTGGGGTGACTTATGTACATTATCTGCAAAATCCCAGAAGTAAAAAACAAGTCTTGCACACCGGCACAGCTATTCGCTAAAACAGGTCTCGCTGTGCTTTTTTCCTCCCATCAAAGTATGACTAGAGATTAGAGCAGGTTTATAAATAGCACTGTCAGAAATGGTACTTTCCATGACAAATTGGCCAAATTGCAATTTCACCTTCATGTTTTCATGGATGGTTAAAGAAACCCTGTAATAAGAGAAATACAAACCCTGCCGTTGACCTTCTTCTGAAAATGCTGACTGCCCGGATGTTGTAATCTGCACACTTGCGTTAGTGAATTATAAAATATGGAAGCCACCAAATCAATCTGGCAGTCAGGAAACTAGTATTTTCAAGGTCAGCAGTGGCAGCGGTTTCCTTAGTCCGAGGTGGAATTGCCTCCCCCCTTCTTTGCGGCTGTATTTCTTGAAGAATGGTTAGGCTCTAAGAAGGTTAAATAAATTTGATCAATTAGAATTGTGTTGAGGCAGAGGCTGGGCTGACGTCATCCCCCTCTGCTAGATGTATCGGCATGTGAGCTTCTCTGATGTGCCTTACCTGTTAGTGTGAGTACCTCTCTGCTACATAGTGAATAGATGGAGCGGTTTTACACTGTGGAGGTTTTGCGTTTATTTTTCCATGTATTGATGACAATGGCTGAGCAAAACTGAAGGTTATGCCTGGACTCTGCTGAACTCTTGCATGGTTCCTGGTCGCTACATTTGGTCATTTCCAAGGCTCTCATATACATTGAGAACTATAGACCTCTTATACTGTGGGGTATTGTTATCTGATCAGCAACTAATGCTATTTTTGGTGGTGGAATTTATAAGATGTTACAGAAGATCTCAAATATCACGTATAGCATGGAGTGGACTTTAAAGTGTTAGACTGGCCATACATTATACAATTTTCTTTAGAAAATTGCTTTAGATTTACCAAAAACCATATAATAGGAGGTCAAACCTGAACACTTTCAATTGTATCCAATTAAGCAGGCCCTTGCACTACATAGTTGAAGGTAAATCTAAAGGACATAAATTTAACAGAAAATTGTATAGTGTATGGCCAACCTTACTAAACCCACAACAGTAAAATCAGTCTGTATATGCAGTAAAGCATGCATGTTATACTCACTGTGGAACCTAAGGGGTTAATTATCTGCATTGTGTAAAAATGCTGTTTTGATCCTGACTTCTCTGATTCTCTCCTTTTTTCCAGTATCCCCCTCTTATCTCCTGATAAGACATATCGTGTGGAGACACTCTGCACATGCTCAGTTTGGTGTGTATTGTTAGGTATTTTTTTCTTGGGAGAGTGCATGTGATCCCGCACAGGGCCAATCAGCACTGTCCAGACAGAGGTCAGGGGTTCTGCATCCTCCTGGAGCAGAAAGAAAACTCCTCCTACAAACTTTAACCAGTGCTCTACTGAACACAGACTGCTCTAACTGCTGATGAGAAAAGATATTTAGCAATTTATATTTACTAAAATAACTTTATTTCCTTATACTGTGGGAGACCAGATATAGTGAATGCAGGGTCCTGGGTTTAGTAACATTTGAATAATTAGATGTGTGGGTGCTCGTATAAGACTCTTATTTTTATATATATATATTTGCATTATTTTATTAAAATGAAAATTTTAAAGGGTCGGTGCAATAATTTTTGGGTTTATACAATGAATTTGATCAGTGATTCTGCAGCATGCTGGCATGTTGTAGAGCAAAGGTTGCCTCGGCTCTACAACATGCTGGCATGCTGTATAACCATTGGTCCAATTTATTTAACCCTCTCAGAGCCTAACCATTCGTCAAAGAATACAACTTTGAAGAGCGGGAAGGCAGTCCCCCCGAAACGCGTTGTTACAATTTGTATTTTATCTTGCATAAATTATTATAATCGTCAAGTGAAATATTTTTCCTCGAACCAGACACTCCTCTTCAGTCACCCAAGTGTTCCCTGTGGTAATGGCCCCATTATTGTTATTTTTATTATTATTATACAGGATTTATATAGCACCAACAGTTTGGTCAGCGCCAGGGGTGGACTAACCATTTGGAAACTCGGGAGCTCCCCAAGGGCCCGGGGTCAGTAGGGGGCCCCATGAGATGCCCCTGTTACCTTTTTTCATAGGATTTTTTGAGTTTGGGCAAGGACACAGGGGCCCCATGATCCCCTATTGCCAGGGGCCCCATGAGTTGTCAGTCCACCCCTGGTCAGCGCTTTACAAAATGAAGGTAGATATTACAGTTACAATACAATTTGGTACAAGAGGAATCAGAGGGCCCTGCTCTTTAGAGCTTACAATCTAGGCGGAAGGGTTGAGTGATTCAAAAGGGAATAGCTGTGGGGGCTATGAGATGATGGAGGAAATAAAAGGCAGTTTACTAGGTAGAAGCAGGATAGGCTTCTTTAAAGAGAGAGGTTTTCAGGGATCGTCTAAATGTGGATAGATTAGGAGATAGTCGGACAGATTGGGGTAGGGAGTTCCATAGGTTGGGAGAAGTCCTGGAGATGGGCATGGGAGGAGGTGACACGGGAACTAGAGAGCAGAAGGTTTTTGGAGGATCGAAGAGAGCGGTTTGGTAGATATTTTGAGACCAGGTTAGTGATGTAGCTGGGTGCAGAGTTGTGGATGGTTTTGTAAGTTAGTATTTTGAATTGTATTCATTGGGCGAGTGGAAGCCAGTGGAGGGATTGGCAGAGAGGGGTGGAGGACACTGATTGGAGGTCAGTGGAGGGATTGGCAGAGAGGGATGGAGGACACTGATTGTAGGTCAGTGGAGGGATTGGCAGAGAGGGATGGAGGACACTGATTGTAGGTCAGTGGAGGGATTGGCAGAGAGGGGTGGAGGACACTGATTGAAGGTCAGTGGAGGGATTGGCAGAGAGGAGTGGAGGACACTGATTGGAGGTCAGTGGAGGGCTTGGCAGTGAGGGGTAGCAGACACTGAAAGGTGGATGAGCCTGGCAGCAGTATTCATGATGGACTGGAGGGGGGAATCAGAAAGATTTCAGCCCTACAGGTCAATGGAGTCCACCCCCTATCACCCACAACTGGGGTAGAACCCATTAGATGCAATTCCCTCTATAATCTTCACTTAGAGATCTGCTGCCACACAGCCTCCAGAGGCACCAGTCCGGGGTTGTGTCCCACCCAAACCTTATCAACTAACTGTGCAGCTTAACCTAAAAACTATGTTAAAATAATGTTTATGCTGGGTGAGAGCAAAAAACACAATAAACCTCTCATACCTCTCTTGTGTGCTGCAAATGGAGATTAGGGATACAAAGTCCACCCAACCCCACACTGCCATTAAACCCAGAACTGCTCAGGACTGAGCACTTACATGTTCACCCACAGCCAGAAGGAGATTGGTGAACAAAAGCTTCATGTTCACTGATCTTCCCATTTTCCATCCTCTAAACCAAGAGCGAGAACACTGGCATCACAAGTAGTTGGATGTAGCTCTAGGGAATGACGTGGTGAGGAGTTTCTTAAAGGGGCACCTTGCCTTTGTAGCTTGTTGACGTGATCATGTGTCTTGTATTTAGCAGATAGACCACTACATACTGTAAATTAAAACAAGCAGACATGAACTTGCTTGAACCCTTTCATTGACACAACATATATGCAGTTTGCCACGTAGGAAGCAGTCCAGTCATGTTGTGTAAAACATTCTTGGCAGTCATCTGGTTAATGAAAGCATAAGCCATTTAAGAGGCTCTATGCTAACTGCAGCTCACAGGGAAGCAAGATTTAGGAATTTATTTCAAATTGCAATTTATGCATAAGCCCGGAATTCATACTTTATCAACCAGTTTTCTCTGGGGGACACACTCAATGTACTCACTTTTTCTCCCCTGCCCATGTTAAATCAATGAGGAGTTGGGGCATTGATGTTAAACACCTTTATCATCAGTTATTTAATTCAAACTAAGTTAATTCAACTGGGAAATCATTGCTGATAAAACTGAGACAGATCAATGTGTCCTGGGAGAAATGGCTCATATTTGCAGCTATGGTTAATATCCATCAAATATGAATGCTTTCCAGTGCTAGATGTTAAGTTTAGCGGTGCCTGCGCTTAGTCCTTTGCAGTTATCATAGAAATACCACAAGTATTCAAGATAGGAGTGTACAGAGTGCAAACGTCTTTGCCTCTTATAGACTGTTATCAAATGTTTGTCCAAACAAAAGTATGTTATTCAGCAGGAATGTGAGAGAAGACTAAAGATTTATCTTTCTTTTTACAGATAAAATTTGCATTGAGAATTTATTTAAAAGAGAAGTATGGTGTTATTTTTTCCCCCCATTATACTTACCTAGGAGGATGAAGCATCCATCCAATGCTTCATCTGTCTAAGGGTACGAACGTGACCGCTAATCGCTGTCTGCTCAGCCCCCCCAGTGCTCACTGGAGCGCTGGGTTGTGGAAAGGGAGGGAGCGGCTGGTTCAGGCTCCCGACGCTTCGCTAAAAGGCTGAGCTAGGTGGCGCTACAGATTCTGGGTGGATCCCGACTGTGAAGTTGGCATCTTTCCCAAGTCTGGACTGGCTGAGTGACATCACCCGACAGTGGACTTCAGCCCACTGTCAGCTGAAATTGGATCACATTTCTGTGATCCACACTCCTGTGATCCACATGAGAAATACAGCCAAAAGAGCTTTGGCTGTGTTTCTCCTTTAAAAATAAGTTCACCTTTTATTAAAACCTAATAGATGCACATTTTTTGTATGTTAAAAAATGTGCATTTATTATTTTCTTTAAAAAGGAGCCTGCAAAGTATTACACCCACAATCAACAGATCGTGGGTACAACTTCAGGCTCCTTCACGGTCTCCCTCAAGCTTTCAGCCCGTACCTCAGTGTGGGCTGTCAGCTTGCAAGCTGGAGAGATTGAGAATTGACTACAAGCATGCTAATCAGTACACTCGCAGCCCGTTCAAACCTTTCACAAGTCTTCCTGCCGTTGTGGCAGGTGAGACTTGTAGTTTTCTCCATCACAGATTTCTGTGAATGAATGACGTGGCTGTGTGAGCGGAGCCCCACAAAACCATGCTGTTTACAAAATGTGACCGTGGAGAGAGGATAGGAGAAAGACATGCACTGGTACATGTTACGCCCTAAATATGGGTATAACATATAACATGTTCCAGAAGGTGAACTTGGCCTTTAAACTGCTCCTGTACCCAGATATTGGACATTAAATCATCTACATATTCTTAGTCAAGCCATCCATGACCTTTCTAACTGCTTGTACTGTGAAGTAATTAATTCTCCAAAACCCCAAAAGATCTTTTTTATATATATACATACACTAGGATTTTAAAGTGATTTTACTTTTTGCTCAGAATATGTCAATAAGATTAAAGAAGGTTTAAAAACCCTACAAAAAAATAGGGTTTTCCTAGAGATATACTTTGAAGTGGAACTAAAATCTGCATATACCGCCCCACGCTGGTGCTGACATCTTCTGATGGATTCAACAGGTCTTCAGTGATCTTGATTGACTGGCAGGGAATGACATAAACACCTGTGCATGCGCATGGGTTGTCATTCACTCCAGCACCAAGGTGAGCCAAGAATGTGCACTGAGCTGCACATGCACAGCTCAGTACATGTTTGAAAGAAGATTTCAGACAGGTTGGTAAGTTAGTTTTATTTCTGAAGAGCCCTAGCATATTTCCTCTGCAATAAAATGCCTGTTTGCTGTCTATTTTTTTATTTTTGTCACTGCTCTGCATTAAGTTTGAAGTGTGGTATATTAAATGCATTCACTTTAAACATTCATCCTAAATGAGAAACATCTCTGCATATAAAACCTCATATACGCACATTTGTGTGCTCAAAGGTTTTCCACGACTGCAGGTGTAAGCATATGGCTACTGTATGTACAACAATCCATTAGTATGGGCAGTTGCATGCTTGAAAATGCCAATGGCTTTTGCATTGGAATTTACCCATATGTGTATTTCCTCAAAGGCACCACTTTCACGTTTGGGAAAATATGCAGTACACATGTGCACAGTTGAACACAGATACAAAAGCCATCAGCATTTACAAGCGCTTGTTAGAATGGTTGTATGCGGTATCTGTGGCTCCCCAGGTGCAAGTAAACACCAGAAGACTCTTGAGCATGTGAATGTGTGTGTGCATGAGGCCTTATTGCCTGTCTTATGTATCTGATTTCTTTCTCTGTTTTGCCTATTACTGAATGTTTGAAGTTTCTGCTACTACATTCACTCAGGTTGAATCTGGTTGTTTGAGAAACCTTTTTGTACACAGTGGTTGAGGTGGGGAACACCTTTCCTGGATTACAGCAGTCTGTCAAATGAGGTTCCGAGATCACACACCAACAAAGCAGTGGTGTCAAGTGGTCCTGTGCAACAACTCATTGGTAATATAGTGAAATGTTGACAGGCCAGTAATGGGTTAATTTGAAGTTTTGACTTCGGTGCACCTTGACTTGAACCTTTTGGAACTTAACTCGCATTTTAAAGTTTTAGCTACAGGGCTTAGCATATCAGTCTCTTTAGCTGTGCTGCACAAATAAGTAAAATTCATTCCAGTTTATTAATATTCCCAA